AAAAACGATTTTATTCCCTATTGTATTCATGATTTCTGAACTGCACACGATAAAATGGAAAATGGAGTTCCTTTAAAATGTTCACACTGTTTCATCGAATATCTACCTACTAAACTACTTATAAGTTCTAGGAAATACAATGCTAACTAGTGATTAGGTTCGATTCCAAAAGAAAAGAACACATATAAGACATAACTCCTCAAGTACATGGAAGTACATGACTTCTTTTTTTTGGGTTGGATCCATCGTTCCTCGAAATGGGGGTTGAAATATATTGTGTGATCAAAACTCTCTAAACCTTCCCCATATAGTTTTTATTCGTTGAAGTTTTTTAAAAATAAAAGCGACTATAGTTTCGGCGTACTGCCATCATCAGGCGATGAGAATTTAACAGGAAAACGGTAAGTTACAAACGTTGAAGACGAATAAGACGAACATGTTGTTTTTTAATTATTAACTGGCCGAAGCCAAGTGAAAAAACCTGAAGGGTGGTTAAAACGGAAAGGTTGTCCTAAGTTTCAAAACGAATTATTATCAAGCCTTGTTAAGACAACCAACCGGAGGGTTGAATTATTACATTAAAAGTTGAAAGTTGAGTTTAACACATTTCAAAAGAACTGGGGGGAAAAAATAAACTTATAAAAGTATTGAAACTATTGAGATGACTACATATTTAAATTATTTAAGTTAAGTTTAAATTCGAGATCATGCAGACGGCATGTCTAGAAATGATTGACAACCTTCTAGACATGCCGTCTGCATGATCTCGAATTTAAACTTAACTTATTAGTATATTAAGATACAAGTGTATAATCAAGTCTTTAAAGCACGCGCAACGAGTTTAAGGGCACGACGCAAAGCGGAGTGCCTTTAACGTTGCAAGGGCTTTAAAGACCAATTATACACGTGTATCTTATAGTATTTTTTATTATACCTGCAGTATAATTTAAAAATAGGTAATACAATGAAGTCATATTGACGTTATACTCGAATACATGTCTAATTAAGTGGGCTGGGTGTTCGTATTTCACGATTGCCATGGAAATGTCACTTGACGTTTGCTTATAAAAATCATCGTCTTTGTGAATTAAACGATTTCCGTTGAAAAAGATAATACACTGTGCATTAAATCGCTTGTTGTAAAATCTAAACAAACGTTGGTAGGTGTATAAAATCCAAATCCAGTAAAGCCTATTATAAAGAATAAGTTGTTTCCATGGATGAATAGGAAGTTACTTACGAATACAGTCTTAAATGCATCCATAATGCTGACATATATGAAGGAAATGTCAAAGGTATTTATATTTTGGTGCATTCAGATTCATTCAAAACTTTAAAGCAATGCTGCGATTAAAAAGTGGAACAGATTTGGAAGCATACCCTAAATTACGCGCGTTTGTGAAAGCTTCAACCAAAGGATAGGTAAAAAAGCCAAAGAAATGTTCTGCATTTACAGAAAGCGACCTAAGAGGATTTTTTATTTCATCCTGATGACAGTTTCAAAAGTCATACTTGAAGTATCGTTACTTAGCAACTTTAAAGCACGTGTGTTTTAAAGGCCCTTTTTCGCACGCATTTGAGTGTTTAAAACGGAGATTGTGATTCAGGTATAATAAACAAGTTAAAAAGTAATCGTAAACGATTTACATAAAGCGCATTTCCACTTGCATTCATTTCCCATTTGTAAGATGCAACTTCTGTTAAAATCGTAAAAATCCGGTCACAAATATGAAAGATAGCGTTGCACATGGGCAATCCATTTTTGACGTGTTACTTCAATTTCAGTTTATGAGAAGAATTTCATTTCAATGCTTTTCTAAATAAGAAAGTTGGAACTGCGCATGCGCAAACCTAAATTTTAAAACTAATGTTAGATTTTCCTTTGTTCCAAGCGCCTAAGTATCAAATTTCACTTAAATGGTGCCATAGATAAAAAAGTTGGCACTGCGCATGCGCAAAAGAAAATTTTGAGACTGGCGCTCGATGATCCTTTATTCCAAGTGCCTATGTATCACATTTCATTTAAATTCTTCCATAAATTAAAAAGTTGGCACTGCCTGCACATGCGCAAAACCAAATTTTGAAACTGGCGTTTGATTTTCCTTTATCCCAAGTGCCTATGTATCAAATTTCGTTTAAATTCTTCCATAAATAAAAAAGTTTGCACTGCGCATGCGCAAAACCAAATTTTGAAATTGGCGTTTGATTTTCCTTTATTCGAAGTGCTTATGTATCAAATTTCGTTTAAATTCTTCCATAAATAAAAAAGGTGGCACTGCGCATGCGCAAAACCAAATTTTGAAATTGGCGTTTGATTTTCCTTTATTCGAAGTGCTTATGTATCAAATTTCTTTAAATTCTTCCATAAATAAAAAAGTTGGCACTGCGCATGCGCAAAACCAAATTTTGAAATTGGCGTTTGATTTTCCTTTATTCCAAGTGCCTATGTATCAAATTTCGTTTAAATTCTTCCATAAATAAAAAAGTTGGCATTGCGCATGCGCAAAACCAAATTTTGAAATTGGCGTTTGATTTTCCTTTATTCCAAGTGCCTATGTATCAAATTTCGTTTAAATTCTTCCATAAATAAAAAGTTGGCACTGCGCATGCGCAAAACCAAATTTTGAAATTGGCGTTTGATTTTCCTTTATCCCAAGTGCCTATGTATCAAATTTCGTTTAAATTCTTCCACAAATAAAAAAGTTGGCACTGCGCATGCGCAAAACCAAATTTTGAAATTGGCGTTTGATTTTCCTTTATCCCAAGTGCCTATGTATCAAATTTCGTGTAAATTCTTCCGCAAATAAAAAAGTTGGCACTGCGCATGGGCAAAACCAAATTTTGAAATTGGCGTTTGATTTTCCTTTATTACAAGTGCCTATGTATCAAATTTCATTCAAATACTTTTATAAGTAAAAAAGTTTGCAATTCGGTTTATAAATGGTCGAGATGCGAAAAGGGCACTGTGAATTTTGAATCGATCCGATTCAACTTTTGGCATTGCGTATTATATGGCTAAAGCTATGCCCATATTGAATTTCATGCAATTCAGTTCATAACTAACGGAGATTTAAAAGCGATCGAACATTTCTAAACAAAGTTATCGTTCACACGAACAGATAGATGGACAGACAGACAAAGGAACAGACGGACAGACCAGCATGCAGACCACAGATAGCAATGCAAAATTATAAACGATCTCTAGGATCGTTAATAAACGGCAAAAGTGTAAAATTATAGAACATGTAAAAAAACGGTTTTTTGTTTTTTTTACAATAACTTTTTTTGTAAGCGGTACAGAAAAAATTCCTTCCTTGGTACAAGACTCGACACCATAACGAACCAAATAGCGAAAAAAGTAGAACAATAGCTCTTAAGATAAAGAACTAGTAGCGTCGCAAAACGAGCGGACGGACGGACAGCCGGACGGACGGACGGACCAAGTGGCCACAATAGCGCATTTTTTTTATTTTTGTGGAAATGCGCTAAATAGTTATTTGTTTCATTAGTACAAAAAATGTCAGTTTTCGGGACGAGGAAGATAGTTGCTGGACGACGCGTTAGCGGAGTCCAGCAACCTTCCGAGTCCCGAAAACGCATTTTTTTGTACGAATAAAACATAAAATTTTTTCTCCAACCCCCTTTACTTCAAATTATATTCGAATTTAGATTCAGTCACAGTTTCACTACTAGTACAAGAACTTCTGCTTTCTTGTCCCCACGTGTCATGCCACTCTAGTTTTTAGGTTAACTTATAACCTATTCGTTTACTTCTCACCTCTCGCGACTCTGTAGGGAGCAAATCTTGAGGTAGCATGTTCTGCCGTTTCTAAAATCTCTGGCGGAGTGCAATCCATGTCGCTATCAGTTTCAGTCATTTCTATTGTATACACAATTAATATTGTTATATTTTGTATTGAAATAAAGAACTTACCATACAGTTTTTTAATTAAAATTAATTGCAATTAACTTTTTCAAATTTTGAATCCAAATGACAGATAATAGTGCAACGGGTCTGAAGTAGATGGCGTTACGCGCGACGCCGGGTTGTATACGTATTAAAATTACGTTCACCGAATATGTAAATTACGACGTTACACATGGTTTAAATAAAAATAGCGAGCGTAAATCATTTTCAATACATGTACATACGTATAGGTAACAGCATTTGCATTGAATATGCAAAAATATTTAATATGTATGTATAAAAATATCTTATAACCTGCAATGTAAAACGATGTCAATGTGACATATCTCCGTGATTGTAATTTTTTAATTGGCCAACTTTCAAGGTCAATTTCTTTTTGGTACTAGGACCAAAAGTATCCACTTTTTGTACAGTTGCCATGGTGAAAGCGATTAATCAGCAAAACGTCAATTTTACGTACCGAACACTGTCACAAAATAGTGTCTTATTCAGGTGGTTGGAGAAAAAATAATTTAAATATCTAGTCATCTCAATAGTTTCAATACTTTTATAAGTTTATTTTTTCCCCCCCCGTTCTTTTGAAATGTGTTAAACTCAACTTTCAACTTTTAATGTAATCATTCAACCCTCCGGTTGGTTGTCTTAACAAGGCTTGATAATAATTCGTTTTGAAACTTAGGACAACCTTTCCGTTTTAACCACCCTTCAGGTTTTTTCACTTGGCTTCGGCCAGTTAATAATTAAAAAACAACATGTTCGTCTTATTCGTCTTCAACGTTTGTAACTTACCGTTTTCCTGTTAAATTTCACATCGCCTGATGATGGCAGTACGCCGAAACTATAGTCGCTTTTATTTTTAAAAAACTTCAACGAATAAAAACTATATGGGGAAGGTTTAGAGAGTTTTGATCACACAATATACATGACTTCTACCCATTAGATTAGATAGGTACCATTGACCAACTATTTCCACTAATCAGCCAGATCAAACATTTACCCGAATATCTTATCTACTTCCATCAACATCAAAACCCGTATTTACTTTGATACAAATGCACCTTTTTCTGTTTAGGTATCACATTGGGCCAAAAGCAAACACAGGAAGATCCCTGCAAGCTAAAGTCACGCGTTGTAGCAGATGAAAATTATTGCGACCGATACTGGGAGTGCGTAAATGGGCAACCCGAACTATACGATTGTCCTAACGGTCTCGTTTTCGCTGGTAAAAATCGAGGAGTAACGGAAGGCTGCGATTATCCGTGGAGGTCCAATTATTGCGAAGGAAAACAACAATCCAGTAAATAGTTGTTTTATATTGTTTTTGATGTCTTTGATCCGATCCGTATTGCAGATCCGCCGATTGGTGTCGACCACTGCGGATGGTTGTATGGCATTTTTGGACACGAAACCTCTTGCACAAGATACTGGACTTGCTGGAACGGCACCGCAACGGAACAATTGTGCATTGGAGGACTTCTATACAACGAAGCGACCCACGCGTGCGATTGGCCAGAAAATGTGGCAGGTTGCCAAAAACACCGTAAGAAAAACTGTTTTTGAAATATTGCGTGAAATAATTAGAATTTTAGCACTTTGCAATGATGACGCGAACGGAAATGTGGCCTTAGGGAAATCTTGCAATCGATATTGGCAATGTCAGGGTGGATATCCACGATTGCAAAGATGTCCGGCAATGTTAGTATTTGATCGACGTTCATTGCGATGCGTTGTTCCACCCACCGAAGACTGCGACGTACCTACAACCATACCACCTCAGATTCTAGAAGAAGAAGCAGATGAAAACATACCAAATCTACCACCTGGTGCTATTCCCTTACCTCATAAAAATAAACCAAGGAATTAAATTTTCATTTCACGTTTTGTTATTAGTGTAACATGTAGTTCAAAAAGTTAATTTATTACAAATGTTTTGAATAATTTCATTTTTCGAATAGTGCCAGTAAGTATCATGTTTACCCTACCCTTCAATATCCCAACTTCTTTAAACACCAAACAATTCTTGTTTTTATTACACCCAAGTAAATAAATGTAACTATAGGTGTCATAGAAACATGAACTATGTAATATCTAAAGTAGGTAAGTATACCTACTTAATGTGTACCATTATGGTTAAATATCCCTAAATTTAGGCATTAATAAAACAAATTTTTAAATTCGACTTGTTTTTAAAAACCCTTTAATCCTGCAGGTACCTACCTAAATTTATCACCAGTGTACACTACTACAAAGGTTTTTGGAGGTGGTAGTATTATATTTACCAGTTTGAATCAAACAAGTACATACATAACGTAAATTTAACTCCGTAATTTATTTATTTACAATTATCTAACAATAAAATGTATAACAGCCCTTGAAATGGAAAATTTATAACAGCAATTATTATTTATCACTACTTCCCGAAAAGAATGAGTCGCATCCGTCTTAGTTTTTTTTTATCGCCGATGACTAGTCTTTCATGGCGCCTCGGTGTCTTTGGGGTTTCTTGAATCTTCGCTACACTGTCCCTCTCCTAAAACTGTAGCATCTCGCAACATGAACGACGTTTGTATTGGAGACACAGTGGAAGGGAACTCTTGTTCTATAACACGACTTTGATGGCGGTGCTTGTACCACGCACCCCTCATGAATTTTCCATTCTTGAAGAAAAAGGATAATCCACCGTCTGTCTTACGAAACGGTTGAGGCGTTTCTCTGGAGTTAAAGCAACAGATTTCCACCCCGGTGCCCTGCCAGTCTAACTTATCAAGGCCACAGGACACAGGTAGTCCTTAGGTATAAAAATTTACGAGAACACTAAAGACTATCGAATAGCGAAATAAAAAAGTGGTGTTCCATTTGAAAAAAAAATAGTTATTGAAGTTCAAAAATTTTACCATTTCATTGTGCAATTGAATTGTGAATTGCGAATACCCCGAAAAAAAATTGTCTCAGATCGACCCAGGAAAAAAAATTTCTTATAGAACGTGGCCTGTAGAATCCATAATTTCAAACAGTTCCAAGATTGGGCTACTAGTTCAAAAGTTACAGCCCTTTGAATTTTCATTCGAAATTGGTTTCTAGTCTATAACTTTTGATTGAGAAGTCTTATCGAAAAAGTACGAATTGTTTTGGATTCTACGCACCAAAATTAATAAGAAAGTGTTTTCCCGGGAAATTTTGGTGCAGTCGATTTTTGTTAAAAAAGGAAGGTTATACACTGCCTTTTTTTGAGGTCCGAGAAAAAAATTGTCTCAAATCGACCCGGAAAAAAATTTTCTTATAGAATGTGGCCTGTAGAATCCATAATTTCAAACAGTTCCAAGATTGGGCTACTAGTTCAAAAGTTACAGCCCTTTGAATTTTCTTCCGAAATTGGTTTCTAGTCTATAACTTTTGATCGAAAAAGTACGTTTCTTGGGGAAGGGGCCTAGTGTCTATGGGCGGATCCATACTAAGGGACGTGACCAACAAATCTTCAAACTTATTCTTATAGATTTTAACCTGTAGAATCCAAAACTTGAGTTTGAAGTGTAGATCAAAAGTATATACATCCTGAAAAGGGAGAGGATACGCACATAATTTGAATATTTATTCAATAATTTATACATAATTAGATACATTTGAGAAAGTAATTACAATTGAAATAATTACACATGCTTATAATAATAAGGTATATACATATATTTATATAAATGTTATACAAGTGTATAAATATATAACAAAATTAACAAAAAAAAAATATTTATACAAACAAAACTGAAATTACATGATAACAGCAGCCATTTAAAATGATTGGCCAAAACAAATTTAATACACAGACCATACGAAACAGCCATAATTCACAATATGAAACATTTTGTTTAAAATGCCAAACAGCGACAGTAGTAGATTATTAGGCGTAACGATTATGTGGCTCATATTTTCTTAAACATTTCATTACAAGCAACAACAGCTGAAGGTTGCATACATCAGTCTTAAACAAAAGTAAGTAACAATAAGCAGATTAAACAAGCTATAATTGGGCGCAATTCTTCTCCAATTCTAATGAAACTGATTTCGTTGTAACAATATTGGATGTAGAAGAGTGAGCCGGTTCCGAGACACAAATCGGTTTGTCTAATGTTTCATTCGACACTTCAATTATGACCTTATCGTCATATGTTTTTGTTACAATCGGTTTTGCTTCACTCAGGTTTGAGTGGAAGAAAATACTTCTCAAAGTAGCAGATGTAGACATCCCTTTCCTTGGAGGCTTTTCTTCGTTACATGGGAGAGTTATATCTACATAAATGCTCTCATTACTAACGGTGTCCGGTTTACTACAACGCTTAAAGCTGCAACTACTATCGATGCTCGATTTGTCCATGTCTAATGTTTGGGGCGTTATGAAGCTAATATTATCGTCAAATCGTACGCGCTCGGAAACGCAATCCTCGCCGATAGTGACGCAGCTACACGAATCACTTCCATTACTCTGTAAATGAACGCAATGCAATAAAGGAATCAAATGCAATGTCTAAAGTAATTTTCAGGCATGGGCATTTTATGTGCGAGGTCAAACAGAGCGTATGTCTCATCCAAGAAAAAAGATTTTCTAAAAGAGATTTGAAGTTTGCCGAGTATGCTAGTATTTATATAAATCTAATCGTGGATCAAGACCATGTAATCAAAATATAAACATAAATTGAGCAAACATTTACACCAAAAATTGGTCGCGCGGCAACTCTCTTTCAATCGACAATATATCATTTTGCGCTCTTAATACACAAATAGCTATTAACTGTCATTAGAAAAGATGCTCTCGTGTCGTGCGGTTGCCAGCTATCAGAAATGTATGCATCGTCGGCGTAAGTATATACAGGGTGGAATGTTTAGAAAAATTAACAATTATTTCAAGTGATGGACATTTGAGGGAAATGTTTCAGAAATGTGTTACAAGTATGTGACCGTATCAAAAACGTGTAATTTTTTTTCTCCCAAAACTCAGGTGTGCTAAAGCATGGAATTTGTAACTCTATATCTTAGGTAAATATCTAGTACCTTTACAAAATAGCGATTTCCAGTACACATTCAGATCTAGGGCAGTAGATGTCAAAAACAACCTATACCCGATTGTGCAAAAAAGAATAAAATTTTACCTTGTAATTCAGCATCGATCCTGCCAAAGCTCTAGTAGACGCTCCGCCATCATCTGCCAAACTGACATTGACAGATTTATCAGACAGGCTACTAATGCTAAATCGCTGTGTGGATACAAGATCTGCTTGTACTTCTAATCTTTGACAAGCATTACCCACGCTCCCTGCTAACGCGACGGTACTCGCCGACTCCCTATCTGCTTCCCTCAACACTTGACTGCCGCTCGCCATAGATAGACTAGCTTCCCCAATTGACGGATTTGCTCCCCGACTGCTTACGGCGTCGATCGATGCGTTGTCTTGATTACGACTCATCGCCAAGTCGTTCTCATCATCGAACTCAAATCGAACGCCGGTCGCCGACGTCGTCACTCCGCAGCCGCCAGAACGGCACAGTGAAACAGGAACGACTCCGTAAACGTAAAATAGTAAAATTGGAACGCCGATACCAACAGCTAAACCTGCTAGTATGGGAGAAATAAGAACCTGAAATAAAAAGGAATTGTTAAAACAGTTTTAAGAAAACATTAGTAGTTGGCGCAATTTCTTGTCAATTGACATCCATTCAATTCATAACAATTATAGTGCGTTCGCACCTCCATAGGCAGTATGGTGCTTATAGACATACAAGGAGGTTATGTTGTTTTAAAGGTCCACTCCAGCCGACGCGGGACGGATTGCACGCATTTGCACGCATATACCGCTGTAGAAATATATCCTACATCCATCCCATTCCCGTTCCCGCATTCTCGCGTTAGTTTGAGTGAACCTAAAAACGCCCTACAAACGGTACGATTTGTCGTACGACTTTGGATCGATACTACCGTTTGAACGATAATTGTAACATGTGTAGAGTTGTCATTCGACTTATCGTTTACGAAACGATGTCTGAAACTACTTGTCGTACGACAAATCGTACCGTCTGTAGTGCATTTAATACTTCAATTCATATACGTCAGTTTGGCATCACTGCGGTGAGGAACAAGGATAAGAATGACGCAATTAGTAAGAGAGACATTTGGTCCATAAGACCCCATACTGCATCTGGAGGTGTGAACGCAGTATAGTATTTAATTAAAACTAGTTCTCTGACATCATCAATGAATACAGAATACCAGGAAGGAGCATTACTCAGGTTGTATACAAGAGAGAGTGGGAGGGAAGTCGGCCATTTGCAAAAGCCACTTATGACTCATGTTTGTTGTGGTTTTTGCAGTGACATAAAATAATGGTTAGTTGTTGTGCTTGTGGTTGCTCCAAAACGGAAAAAAATAAAAGTTTGGGAATTACATTTCATGTGTAAGTATTGATACCAATATTATTTTCATATAGTACATGTAAATTTACAAATTTTTTATCGGAATGTAGTTTGAGGTTAGTTAAACAAAAGTCATAGGCGGAGTAGACACATGGGGGTTTAGATTGTTTTCGTGTAAAATTCTTTATAATTGTATCCTTCTACAACTGTAAGGTAGGTACGCCACTGGAACAGGAAACTACTGTCCGCCATTTGCAAAAGCCATCGCGGTCGCACGTATATTGTTGATATTCTCCTTCCTGGTATTCTTTATTCATTGGACATCATCATCTGACGTCAAATAGAAAAAAAAACAATTCCCAAAGGTCTCTCTGTATTTTTATAAAAAATAATATTTGGAGAATCATTATCGATTATAAATGTTGTAAGATGGCATCTCCCAAAATTTACAATTGCACTAGTATAGCTGAAAATGCATTGGCCGTCTAGAAGAAGTTTAAATTTTCTCCAGAAAAAAAAAGGCATTTAATTCCTTTGAAAAGCACTCTGGAAAACATTTGGAAGGCGTTTCTGAATTTTCAAATCATTTTTAAGGTTTTTGAGTACATTTCATGAACTATGTTTTAACTCCTTTTGCCACAGCGTTCTACATCTAGATCCTTTCCAGGCCTTCTTAGGTTTTAACTTTCTTTAGAGCTAATCGCCTATCGAGATTAAAAAACGAATGTTGTTGGGGTTGAAAAGGGACGGGCCAATGAACTATCGTCCTTGATACAGAAGCAGATTACGAGTAGATCGAGGCCCTTCAGGCATTAATCAACTAACTGTACAGGGTGTAAATTGAGTAGAATAACATGGCTATCTTTGTTATTATTATACTTACAGATTCGGTTAAGTCGTGTAGTTTTTGATGCTAATGGTTATTCCAATGCGGTATTTTGACCAAAATAAATCGTTTCGTAGATAATTGGCAAAAAGTGAAAATTGCCATTTCGAAAAAGTTCTACCTAATAGTTTAATAACAAAGAGAGCTATCGAAAAAAGTTTCAAATAAAAATTGAAAGATTCGATAGGATAAATTCAATGGGTGTAGAAAAAACGCCAGATACTAAACACGTATTTCATTTGGGAATCAACCTTGCATTTTTGTCTTGAAGTTTATGTGACGTAAGCGACTACTAGAATTAGAATGTTTATGTAGATTGACAGATAATTTTGATTAACGTATGTATTTCACACATTACATATTTTACTCTTAATACGCTTTTATTTAATATCTACGTTCATTATTCTACATGGTGGCAGCATGAGTCGTAAGAAAAATAAAAAAAATAGCTGTAGATTATTTCGAATTCCAAAAATGTACTTATCTGGCTGTGGTGGACTACTATTCGAGGTATTTGGATATTATCAATGTCACAACTATGTCTGTGACAGAACTAATAAAAAAAATGAAGAGTTGTTTTGCCCGCTTTGGGATTCAGCCCCTTATATCATCAGTCGAATGGAGAAGCGGAGCGATCAGTCCAAACTCTCAAGAAGATTCTTTGCAAGAATAAGGATCCCACTCTCGCCTTGCTAGAATATAGGGCCACTCCCGGGCTTTTTGGATACAGCCTAGCAGAACTCCTGATGGGAAGGAAGTTGGGCACTCGGATTCCTCTCCTGACCAAAGAACTTATTCCAAAAAACGTGAACCATAAACAATTTCGTGAGTGGGACAAGTGCTATCGTAGTGAACAGGCAGAATACTTCGACCAACGTCATCGATCGAAAGAAGAAGTCCCTCTTGAGATTGGTTCCTCAGTATTCATCCCTGATAGGCAAGAAGAGGGAACAATTGTAGAGAACGTAGCTCCGAGATCCTATACCGTAGCTACAAAGGAAGGATTATATCGTCGAAATAAAACTATGTTGAGACCACTTTCTTCTACGGATAACCCTACATCAACAATTTGCTCTAGACGCGCTATCAAAGCACCACAAAGACTAAACTTGTGATTGTGATGAAAAGGGAAACCCGGGAAGAGGAGATGTGACGTAAGCGACTACTAGAATTAGAATGTTTATGTAGATTGACAGATAATTTTGATTAACGTATGTATTTCACACATTACATATTTTACTCTTAATACGCTTTTATTTAATATCTACGTTCATTATTCTACAGTTTACAATGTATTTCTTATGGCAATAATTTCATGGCCATGTCGATGATGACTATGCGAGACAATAAACGAATGAAAATTGGTTTCAATCACAATCAGCCATGGAATTATTGCCATAAGAAATACATTGTAAACGTCGAGGCAAAAATTCAAGATTGGTTCCCAAATGAAATACCAAGTGTTTAGTATCACTGGTATTGTAATTTTTTTTCTACCGAGTGATCCAATATGGCGTCCATTTAAAATAAGGAAGTTGATGTCAATATCTCAAAAACCACCATTTTGAACCCACTAAATTTATCCCATCGAAAATTGCAACTTTTATTTGAAACTTTTTTGGATAGCTCTTTGTTACTAAAATATTTGAACTTTTTAAAAATGGTGATTTTCAATTTTTTCCAATCACCTCTACGAAATGATTTATTTTTTCAGAATATCGCATCGGAATATCCATCAGCATCAAAAACTACACAACTTTGACAATTTAACCGAATCTTAAGTATAATAATAACAAAGATAGCCATGTTATCATACTTAACTTAAGACACCCTGTATAAAATTTAAAATGCATGAAAGCGAGTGGGAAAGCATTCGGAAAGAAAAAGATAACCTCTACGCGCAACCACTGCCTTAAAACAACTTGACAAATTTTATTATTACACAGACTCTTATGGCCGTTTGCACCGACAAATTTAAGCGGAGCTTAGCTTAAGCGTAGCTTAAAATCTATGGCAACCATTGTCTCAATAATCGTTGTCATGGCTTTTAAGCTACGCTTAAGCTAAGCTCTACTTAAATTTGTCGGTGCAAACGGCCATTACTAGACAGTATATTAACTAAACAGTAAACGAGGAAATTCTACCCATTTTATATCAATTATTATGACCATTTCCAATTATATTGGCATTCAGATTTGTCATAATTATCTAGAACATGTTATTATAATAATCCGGTGAAGGTTAACTTTCAACTTAATGAGGAAATCCCCACCAGTACCTACCCGCCACTGTTTACTGCGCATCTAGTAGGCGGGCTTACACGAATATAGTTATTTACCTAACAAGTTCAGTAAGTTAATTTTTCCGCATGAGCACTTTGTTTAGTGCGAATGCGGTAAAATTCTTTCCGAAAGAATTAGGTACAATATTTTTTGTAACGAATTGCTTAGAAAAGGTCAAAATTAATAAAGTATTGTAAATTAGTTTTTTTTAAATCATGAGTTGGTAACACAATAATATGTTTGGTTGGTAACATAATTTTGTAACTTTTAATCGCACTGGTCACATTTCAATTTGGAAGATTTTGTGTTAATACATATTTTGCTTTGCAATGAGTGTTACTACTGGCACAGATCTACACATACACAGATTGCTAACCTTATGCATTTTTTGGGAAACAAATTTAGGTATACTTAAAGGCGCCCTCTATTGTGGAGCAGTATAAACATGTATCGTTTAAAACTGTAATATGACGCTTATGGATTTAACCGTTAGATGTCGCTGAAACAAAATTAAAGCGCCAAAGTTTGCACAATTCGAATACCTTAATATTCGTATTATTACAGTGATATCATATGATATGTGGTACGCTAGCCATAATTGTTAATTTAACACTGGAGCTACTCATTCGTCGTAAAGGAGTTATTAAAAGCGGGTACCTGTGGTCACAGATACACACGAACATAGGGCAGGTTCTTAAAGAATCGTGAAGGTTTTTTGAAGCGGGCGGAAATTATTTGCAGCTTTAAAGGTCTTGACAGATTGCTAACCGCAAAGGTATACTTAAAAACTATGTATATCTCTGCCATAATTAACGTTACACTCTTTACCACACCGATAAGATTTGGAATACGTAGTTGGTATACATATATGATCTCTTGAATACATGTCTATAAACAAATCACAAAATAAATTCACCGATTACAAATATCAAATGCCAAAAATAACGAATTCGAATTATGCACACTTTACCGCCTTAAATAAAGTCACTAAATATAGAAAGTACCGCAATCCATTGGGCTGGTGAGTTAGAGAGAGAACGCACGATTTTTGCCCAAAAATGGTGGAAGTTACCAGATTCTAGTAACTTTAATGTTAAGGATTGTTCCACCTGTTTGGAGATATCCGTATATATTTTTATAAAACATGACAGTACTATGAAGTTAGGTTACAAAAAATTACAGCTATTCAGATTTTATTTGTCAATTTTTTTAAGTTGGCAGCATTAGCGGATGATTGCGGTACTTTCTATATCTAGTGACTTTAGCTTTAAATTTTTTGCATCGATATCTAATGCATACATCCATAAGCGTCATATTACAGTTTTAAACGGTACATGTTTGTACTGCTCCACAATAGAGGGCGCTTTTAAGTATACCTAAATTTGTTTCCCAAAAAATGCATAAGGTTGCGTAATTGCATCGTTCGCACTGAATATCCTTGGAAGTCTTGAGTGTTAACAAATATGCTTTGAAAATAGTGCTTTTATTGGTCGCGTAAGTGTACTGATCGTATTTAATATTCCCAGAAGATGTGTGAACAAATGTGTTTTCAAATTTGATTTATTTTGAGTTGCGTAAATACACTCGTTACATTTAAAATCCTTCGAAGCTTTGTGTGTGTTAATATGTGCTTTCTTAGATTGAATATGCTAATAGTTGCGTAATATCACTGGTCACATTTTAAGACGTTTTAACAATAAATGTTATTTTCCTTGAGTTCCACTTTTGAAAAATAATTTGATTAAGTACGTTGTAAGTTTTTGTTTATATATTTACTTAAAACTTAGGTACGTTTGTTTCCGATTAATCGCACTAAATACCCTCAACGGTTTAATTGATTTTACAGCAAATGACAATTAACCATGACATGACGTTCGTATTAAGTGGACTTAAATAAGTACTACCAACTGAAGAACGCCCATAACCCCTTCTCTCCAGCGGAAACTAAAAAACACTGCGATGAGGGAAAATCGTTTTCCCGTGCATCGAAGATACTTGGAAACATTATCTTTCCATACAATGAGTACAAAAAAATGTTATTCTTTAAAAGTTGCTTAAATTGATCTAAAACGTCAACATTAAATGAAACTTTGACATTTCTAAAAAAAAAAAAAACAATCATCGCAATAGCCACCTATCTAGCTCCAGTTAGAAAGCTAAAAATTAGTTGAAAGATAGAAAAAATCCAACTAGAATTCATAACCTGAGCAATAAAAATGTTTGTTAATTAAATTCAAAATTGTACTAGTTAGAACATGTAGGTTGTGTTGTCACATTTTAAAAAAAGTTCATTATTTAATGACGAAAAATAGTGCTTTCCATTTAAAAAAAAACCTCTTAGTTCTGTAGACGCCTCGGTAGACGCACGCCACTATAAATAATTTTTAAGCATGAAGATTTATTTAAATTTTTTTAATGATTTTTGACAGAATAAATTGCTTTCACATAACTAACAAAAGAATAACGTTTTTTTTTCAACGCAAACTAGTGAAAGTATTAAATTAATTAGTGCATCCATGTTACCAAGACTGGTCCACTAGTCGAAGTAGGTGTGCATTTCACTCGAAGTAGTCGTCGAAGTACTAAAAGTACCTTTCGAAGTAGTCGAAGTGGTTCGGAAAAAGGAAGCTCAACAGAGATCCACATCACATGACTTTTTGTTCGGGCTGGTGCAATAGAACTGTGAGAGTGGAGTTGAAGTAGTCTAAGTACTTCTCAAATTAGTCCGATGTAGGGGTAGGTACATATTTTGGTGAGGTGGACCAGTCTTTGAGTTCTTCTTTTAAATTTGATTATATTTTTTTTAATATTACTATATCCAAAAAAGTGTATTTCTAAAAACTAGTGGCTGCTATTTAAAAAAAATATACCCTTTGACCACACAGAAGTACGCCACTGACCACAAATAAAGTTCCTAGGGTTGGTAACAAACTTTTTGCAATTTGAGACAACATAAACAGCGTCATTAGAAAAAACGTTGTCTTGAAGATATACACAGTGTTCCAAACAAACGTTTCACCCCGTATGATTTTATAGTTTGAATTCTTTACGTGCTTGCCTAAATGCAAGATTTCTGATATTTCCAAAATGAACAAAATAATTAAATTGTGCAAGTGTTGCCGTAAGCCCTTAAGGTCCTGTCCTTCATTTGAACTGGGTAGATGTGTACAGCAGGCAATTATTGATACGTGAAATTCCGTAATTCTGTGCATTCACTTACGTGTATGTCATGCAGAACATATTGTGTCATTGTGGTAATTGACAAAGGTCAAGAATGAGTCATTTGAAAACTGGGCAAATGTATTTATTTTTAAACTATCCTTAAAAATATTCCATGCAAATAAAACCTCTTGTACCAGTCAAAAAAAGAACGGAAAAAAAATTGTTTTTCACACCGTTGGCTTTTACATCGAAAGGTTGTAGATATTTTAAATATGAAAATATAAGGGATGCGCTATCGATTGTAGGATAAGGACAAACGAGAGGGAGCCGGCCGCCGTCGCCACGCCCGTTGCAATATCTCAACATCGCGAGGCGGCGTCGAGGTTCAGTAAGCGCCGGGGCCCTTCATTGTGTGCACGTTTATTTTTGCTTTTGTACGCGTTCCAACTGAAATGGAACTTGAGAGTGTCGGAAAAGTTAATTGTTAAATATTTTGAAATGTCGGAAAGTGAAGAGGAAAGCAGTAGCGGCGCCGACTGGCCCGTTAACGAGGAATGGTTACTGGCGGTGTTAAAGGAGCATCACAACGAATTACCACGTCCATCCTCGATTACGATTGTCAATTTTACAGTGAGACCGGGATGCGATGCGGGCGAAAGCGTTCTGAGCGATATTTTGGCGGTATCCGTCAAATATCGACTGATGGAAGACGTTAATGCCGAAACATTTTCGCTAAGCTTTATAGTCAAGCTGCTTCCCCAAGATCCTTTTAGCCGGTTTTTTGTTACGGAGGCGCAATTTGACTTACGCGAAATAAAATTCTACACGCAAGTAAGTATTTCAACTCCCGCCCTTAACACAAAGACCTCATTAACTTTTCGCAACGAAAATGGGTCAATTTCCTTTTGAAAACACGGCGAAAAACGTGTCAATGTCAAAGGGTTGTCGCTTTCAAATTCTTCCTTGTTACAGATCGTACCTGACTTGGAAAAATTTCAATCAGAACATATACAAGGTGCGCCCATTGCTCTTCCCATACCGAAATGTTATTTCGCTCACTACACGGCCGGAGTTGCAGATCCGGAACCGATCCCACCAGAATCCGTCCTAGTTTTAGAAAATATTAAACCGCGTAATTTTAGCGGTGCGGAATTCTCCCGTGGATTAACCCTTCAACAGACGACGGCCGCAATGAAGGCAATCGCTCAAATACACGCTCTGTCGTTGGCGCTTAAAGTCAAAGAAGCGAAATCGTTATCAGAGAGGTACCCTTTCCTCTTCCAAACATCTAAGGCAACCGACTCCTATCAGCAACTGGTCGAGCGCGGTTTACCTCAGTTGGCACAATTTCTGGAAAGACGACCGGGCTTAGAACCGGTTCTCGAACGCCTGAACGCAATCAGGCCCAACACCAAGGAGGTGATCGAGTCGCTGTTATTGCCCGAAGAACCGATGTCCCTAATAACCCACACCGACTTTTGGTGCAACAATTTAATGTTCAAGGAAGAAGAGGGCATATGCGAATGCATCATTTTGGACTGGCAAATGGTCACCTTCAGCAGGCCAACTAACGATCTCGCCCTTTTACTGATCAGTTCAGTTTCCGCCGAATTGCGTCGCATCCATACCGAATCGCTTCTGGACGGCTATTGGGAGGCACTCAAGAGCACATGCAGACAATTAAAATTAGACATTGAAGGTGAACTCGATTACGATCGAAACAAACTCGGACTTGATTACAAACGATCGCAATTGCTCGCTTTATTATTATGTATTGGTTCGATCGACGTTGCTTTAGGGGATCCGCTTACGGAAGATCGCCTCATAGAGTTACTCAGAGATTTATACGCCGATGGGATACTGAGTCAGGATGTTATTAATAATTAATAAATTCGTTTTCGCTAATGCTACAACTTTAACCTTAAGGCAAGTAGTGATCACTCCTCTCAGCACTGAAATTTTTGTATACACACGCTATTATTGCCACTTAAGTTAATTAATATTTGTAATTATTGGTTATTATAATGAATAAAAAAACCTTTAGATTATCTATTATTGATCCTTCTCAATATTCATAAAGAAATGTTAAAACATAAGCAATAACTTATCAAAAATAAAAATATTTCTATCGACTTTCGACTTGATCTTTCTGACTTATTATTATTATTATTTCTTATATATGTTTATGTGTTATGATATGATAAGTCATCGCCCTCAAATGACTTTAAACAAATGCTACCTCAAGTTTACTCCAGGCCGCTCTATACCACTAGCACCAGACAGATTTTCAAAAATTATAAGACTAAAATAAATATTTAGTTCAATATGTAGCTTAGTATTGGCCGCCATTAAGCTACCCTCCGCTCATCCAATATTTTTATTTTTACCACCCGCACATCAGTTAAGGGAGATATTGCATTGGGGTAAAAAATGACCCCCCACTTTTTTCACGAAAAGCACCATGAATTCGAATCAAACAAAATCTCGATGATGTTGGTCCATCTGTACTCGTATTTTTTATACAGGGTGTTACATATGAGTAGGTATGTAAAAAAAATTGCGTGGTAGATGGGCCAAAACCAAGAATGCTACATAAGGATTGCTTGATCCCTATACTTGTAATGTTGCCCAAGTTTAAGTCATATGTGACGTCACCAACGGACCTGGCTGTCAGAATTGACAGTTATAATTTGCTAAGTTGTAAACTTTTTGCATTAGTGATATAACTAGGCATGGGAATTTTTTTTTATATATCGATAGGTATCGATAGTTATCGATATATCGAATAACAATAGGTAGAGCTAAAAAAATCGATAGATCGATAACTATCAGTATATCGATAAGTATCGATATATTATCGATATATCGATATGTCAATAACTATTGATATATCGATATGTCGATAACTATTGATATATCGATATGTCGATAACTATGTATATGTCGATAACTATTGATATATCGAAAACTATTGATATAACGATATGTCGATAACTATATAACTTAGAAAGTATAAATTGTGCACAACTCTTGTGCAGATAAAGCCCATTTTTTTAAACCGAAATAGCTGAGTAATTGGTTGGGTTATAAGTAGGCATGGGAATTTTTTTTTATATATCGATAGGTATCGATAGTTATCGATATATCGAATAACAATAGGTAGAGCTAAAAAAATCGATATATCGATAGATCGATAACTATCGATATATCGATACCTATCGATAACTATTGATATATCGATATGTCGATAACTATTGGTACGATAAGATTACCTATGTTATTGTTGAAATTTCAACGAGCGCTACTATTTTTATTAATAAAATCCATTTTCGGGTTTACTCTCGTGTAAAGTTACTATTTTTAGTTGCTCGACGTTTCGGAAACTTAACTTTGCTCCCTTTCTCAAGAGAAGCGCTACGTCACATCATCATCCATGCAAAATCCACGCAGTAATAAAATCTTTAGAAATTAGATCTTTTCGTCTTACTGACGATTGCACAAAAAAAGGAAAACTTCAAAAACTTGACCAAAATGTTGCATCAAAATGGCTACTGTTTAGATAAAATAAAGAAGACAATCAAAGGGTGTAATAATCTTTCAATAAAACCCACTTTACATAAAAGGCATCATAGATCAAATTGCCAACACATTTCCAAAAGATAAATTTAGCGTATGTTTTAAACCTCACCGTTCTCTACAACATCTCCTTAGAAATCCCAAAGACAATATCCCAGGTAAAAACAAGGAGTTTACGAAATTCGTTATACTAATTGTATTAGATCATACATAGGTCAGACTAATAGGAGACTAAATGTCAGAGTACAAGAGCAGTTGTTGGCAATTAAACATCATACTACATCTTCTTCAGCACACACCATCTGCAAACTGGACATTATACTGAACCAAACACTATAAAAGAAACGTTAGTTTCCAAATTTCGCAAATATGAAATAAAATACTTATCAATAAGTAAAATATATCGATAGGTAAGTACTCGATACTTATCGATAGGTGAAACCAGTTATCGCCCATTCCTAGTTATAACTGTGTGTATAAGTGTTCGCTATATTGCAACAAAAATGCTTCGACGCCGACGTGCAGTATTGGACTGTAATAACAATTTGGGCTCGAATTTGGGGAAGTATTCACATTTTACACTCAACTGGCGATTTGCAGCACGACAATTAAGTAGCGCGAAGTAATTATCAAAAGCGACTCCTCGAAGAAAATTTCCACTTTACAGCGTTTCAAAAACGCATCGTGAGAAGGAGCTCTTAGAATTAACATAATATAAAATACAATATAAGTGGTGCACAAATCGAAGCATGGGGGGGCGTCTGGATCCGCCAGTGACGTCACTACACGCTACGAAAAAATTCCGTGATCGAGCAATCCTATATTGTATAGCATCCTTGGACCAAAACAAACACTTTTTCCAAATAAACCCAGGGTCCAACGTACGAGTATTTTGTTTGGTAGCCACCATCGAAAACGTGGTGAAATTTGCGGTTCTTCTTTAATTTTTTTCTCATCAACCATACGAGTTACAATGACGGGTCTTTGAATAGGTTTTGGGGTATCCCCTTTTTGGATTTTGTAAAAAATTTTTCAAAATTCCTCCACGAAAAGGCGCACTCCTAAATGAGGGTACGAAAAATTTCTGATTTTGACGAAATTTGGTATCTGGGGGTTTTTGAATACGAAAAGCACGAATCTGACATTAGTTTTTGAAAACTCCAACAAAAAAATTCCACGCTAGCACAGATACAGCCCACAAACCTGTGCATGCGCGATTATGCACTTTTATGTCTAAGAATATCTGTGCCAAATTTGGTTCCAATCTGTTCAGTTGTTTAGCTGGAGATGAGGGTACAGACAGACAGACAGATAGACATCATCGAGATTTTGTTTGATTCTGATTCCTGGTGCTTCAAAACGTGTATTTCTGTCAAAAACGTGGTCTTTTTTTAAAAAAATCAGATCAAATGGAATAGATGGCTGTAATAGGCAACCAACTCTACACGAATGTGTTTTAAATAATAATCTGCATCAGCTATGGAAACAGTAACTCAAATTATATCACAGTTAGCTATTACTCTTTATTTTTATTATTAGCATCAAATTGTGATTTTTTAACACAAAGATGTATAGCAAAGACGATCAAGTTGAAATAGTCACATGGTATCAGGGTGAAGTTTAAGAACTGTAAAAACAACTCCAGTATGTCGCGTGTAATGTTGGTTGCCTACATCCATCTATTCCATGCTGTGATAAGGTATTTCATTGGATCATTTTGCAAAGAATAAGATCATTCTTTGCAAAAACATAAAATCATATGCTTTAACAACACCGTTAGCGGATAACATAGTTAAGTGTGGTTTTACAATACCAACTTTTAACTACCATGATTCGATGCATTTGATCCGTTTTTAGCGCATTTCCACAAAAAAAAAAATGCGCTATTGTGGCCACTTTGTCCGTCCGTCCGTCCGTCCGGCTGTCCGTCCGTCCGTCCGTCCGCTAACTTTGCGACGCTACTAGTTCTTTATCTTAAGAGCTATTGTTCTACTTTTTTCGCTATTTGGTTCGTTAAGGTGTCGAGTCTTGTACCAAGGAAGGAATTTTTTCTGTACCGCTTACAAAAAAAGTTATTGTAAAAAAAACAAAAAACCGTTTTTACATGTTCCATAATTTTACACTTTTGCCGTTTATTAACGATCCTAGAGATCGTTTATAATTTTGCATTGCTATCTGTCGCCTGCCGGGTGGTCTCTCCGTCTGTTCCTTTGTCTGTCTGTCCATCTATCTGTCCGTGTGAACGATAACTTTGTTTAGAAATGTTCGATCGCTTTTACATCTCCGTTCAATTCAATATGGACATAGCTTTAGCCATATAATACGCAATGCCAAAAGTTGAATCGAATCGATTCAAAATTCACAGTGCCCTTTTCGCATCTCGACCATTTATAAACCGAATTGCAAAATTTTTTACTTATAAAAGTATTTGAATGAAATTTGATACATAGGCACTTGGAATAAAGGAAAATCAAACGCCAATTTCAAAATTTGGTTTTGCACATGCGCAGTGCCAACTTTTTTATTTATGGAAGAATTTAAACGAAATTTGATACATAGGCACTTGGGATAAAGGAAAATCAAAAGCCAATTTCAAAATTTAGTTTTGCGCATGCGCAGTGCCAACTTTTTTATTTATGGAAGAATTTAAACGAAATTTGATACATAAGCACTTCGAATAAAGGAAAATCAAACGCCAATTTCAAAATTTGGTTTTGCGCATGCGCAGTGCCAAATTTTTTATTTATGGAAGAATTTAAACGAAATTTGATACATAGGCACTTGGGATAAAGGAAAATCAAACGCCAGTTTCAAAATTTGGTTTTGCGCATGCGCAGTGCCAACTTTTTATTTATGGAAGAATTTAAACGAAATTTGATACATAGGCACTTGGGATAAAGGAAAATCAAACGCCAATTTCAAAATTTGGTTTTGCGCATTCGCAGTGCCAACTTTTTTATTTATGGAAGAATTTAAATGAAATGTGATACATAGGCACTTGGAATAAAGAATCATCGAGCGCCAGTCTCAAAATTTTCTTTTGCGCATGCGCAGTGCCAACTTTTTTATCTATGGCACCATTTAAGTGAAATTTGATACTTAGGCGCTTGGAACAAAGGAAAATCTAAAAATGTTTTTAAATTTAGGTTTGCGCATGCGCAGTTCCAACTTTCTTATTTAGAAAAGCATTGAAATGAAATTCTTCTCATAAACTGAAATTGAAGTAACACGTCAAAAATGGGTTGCCCATGTGCAACGCTATTTTCATATTTGTGGCCGGATTTTTACGATTTTAACAGAAGTTGCATCTTATAAATGGGAAATGAATGCAAGTGGAAATGCGCTTTATGTAAATCGTTTACGATTACTTTTTAACTTGTTTAAAATATACATAGGTCATATGTATACAATTTCCCTGTATACCACTATAAATATGGCGTTATTGAGACATTTGGGTTAAATAGTGATTAGA